CCCTCAAAATTGGTCCTTAGTAACTTGGTCCTTCAGTGAAGTTGGTCTTTAACAGGCTGGTTCCTCAAAGTTGGTCCTTAGTAACTTGGACCTTCAATGAAGTTGATCCGTAGGAAGCTGGTTCCTCAAAGTTGTCCTTAGCAAGCTAGTCCTTCAAAGAAGTTGGTTCTTGGCCAGTGGGTCCCTCAAGTTTGGTCTTTTACAGGCTGGTCCCTCAAAGTTGGTCTTTAACAGGCTGGTCCCTCGAAGTTGGTCCTTAGTAACTTGGTCCTTCAGTGAAGTTGGTTCTTGGCCAGTGGGTCCCTCAAAGTTGGTCCCTGGTAACTTGGTCCTTCAATGAAGTTGATTCATAGGAAGCTGGTTCCTCAAAGTTGTCCTTAGCAAGCTGGTCCTTCAAAGAAGTTGGTTCTTGGCCAGTGGGTCCCTCAAAGTTGGTCTTTAACAGGCTGGTCCCTCGAAGTTGGTCCTTAGTAACTTGGTCCTTCAATGAAGTTGGTCCTTAGTAATCTGGTCCCTCAGAGAGATTGGTCCTTGGCAAGCTGGTCCTTCAAAGAAGTTGGTTCTTGGCCAGTGGGTCCCTCAAAGTTGGTCTTTAACAGGGTGATCCCTCAAAGTTGGTCCTTAGTAATCTGGTCCCTCAGAGAAGTTGGTCTTTGGCAAGCTGGTCCTTCAAAGAAGTTGTTTTTTGGCAAGCTGGTCCCTCAAAGTTGGTCTTTAACAGGCTGGTCCCTCAAAGTTGGTCCTTTGTAACTTGGTCCTTCAATGAAGTTGGTCCTTAGTAATCTGGTCCCTCAGAGAGGTTGGTCCTTGGCAAGCTGGTCCTTCAAAGAAGGTTCTTGGCCAGTGGGTCTCTCAAGGTTGGTCTTTAACAGGCTGGTCCCTCAAAGTTGGTCCTTAGTAATCTGGTCCCTCAGAGAAGTTGGTCTTTGGCAAGCTGGTCCTTCAAAGAAGTTGTTTTTTGGCAAGCTGGTCCCTCAAAGTTGGTCTTTAACAGGCTGGTCCCTCAAAGTTGGTCCTTTGTAACTTGGTCCTTCAATGAAGTTGGTCCTTAGTAATCTGGTCCCTCAGAGAGGTTGGTCCTTGGCAAGCTGGTCCTTCAAAGAAGGTTCTTGGCCAGTGGGTCTCTCAAGGTTGGTCTTTAACAGGCTGGTCCCTCAAAGTTGGTCCTCAGTAACTTGGTCCTTTAATGAAGTTGGTTCTTGGCAAGCTGGTCCCTCAAAGTTGGTCCTCAGTAACTTGGTCCTTTAATGAAGTTGGTCCATAGGAAGCTGGTCCTTCAAAGAAGTTGGTTCCTGGCCAGTGGGTCCCTCAAAGTTGGTCCTTGGTAACTTGATCCTTCAATGAAGTTGGTCCATAGGAAGCTGGTTCCTCAGAGTTATCCTTAGCAAACTGATCCTTCAAAGAAGTTGGTTCCTGGCCAGTGGGTCCCTCAAGGTTGGTCTTTAACAGGCTGGTCCCTAGAAGAAGTTGGTCCTTAGTAACCTGGTTCTTCAAAGAGGTTGGTCCTTGGCAAGCTGGTCCCTAGAAGAAGTTGGTCTTTGGCAAGCTGGTTCCTCGGAGTTGGTCCTTAGTAGCCTGGTCCCTCAAAGAAGTGGAAGCCTCTTGTGGTGGGCCCAGAGCAGCCCAGGCAGGGAGCTGTGTGTTGGGGGCTGTGACAAGGTCCATGCCACCAAGATGTGCCAGAAGCAGAGAAGAAAACAGGAGCAAAACAGCACTGGGAATGGCGTGGGGAGATATGGAGACCTGGCAGAGGAGGGGAGCACACAGGCCATGATGGGGCACCGCAAGTGACAGGGACATGCCCAGTGCCACCCAACCCCATCCATGTGCCACCTAATCCCCGAGCTGAAAGGAGGGATCCCAACCCCATGGGATGGGCATGGAGGTCATGGCCAGCTGCCATTGACACCTTCATCTCCTTGTTGGAGGCCCAAGCTTCCAAGTTCATTTAGGACCGTGCTGGTTAGAGCTGGACTTCGCTTTAGATCAGCTCCAACAGCAGAAGATCCATCACATTTTGGTGCCTGTGTCCTGACCACACCATCCCCTGGTGAGGACTTGGCTGATGTCCTCAGTGGTGGTGGCCCCACTCATGGACCAGGTTTTGGAAGAGCCATGGCAGCAGCAAAGCCTGAGGGCAAATGCTGCCTTTCCTTCCACCCAGAAGTGCCTTGAGCTGAGCAGCAGGTTGGAGGACACACAAGGACCTTCTGGGTGATGTGGCCTCCATAGGAACAGCAGGGATGGGTCCTCAAGGGGGGAAGCTCCCGTGTCCCCATGGCCAAGTCCCTGCTGTTGTCACCATGGTGCGAGATGAGAGCTGAGAGATATCCATGGATAAGAAGAGACCTCAACACTGGGAAGGGATGAGCTGTTGAGTGAGGAGGCCAGGAACCTGGATTGTTTGAAGCAGCAGCAGCTCTGGTGGCTTTTTGGGTGGCTTCATTGTCCTCTGCTGAACTCGCCACCTCCACGTGGCTCTTTCCACCCTCAGGTTCTACTTCCTGCTTTTCTTCTTCTGTTCCTCATCTAAAGCCCAACCTCAAGGCCATGGCACTGCTATGGTCACCTTGTGCCAGGGCCCTGCTTGAAGCCACCAACACGCTCTCCCCACCTGTGGTGGGGACAACAGTGTCACCTCTGGTGTGAGACGTCCTTCCCTACCATGGGAAGGGCTCCAGGGCCACCAAGCCCAGGAGATGCTGGCCCAGGGGCTGGCAGCTCATGAAGCCACCATGTTGGCTGGCTGCAGGACCAGGGACCAGCCCATCCCGAGTGTCCTTTGTTTGCCTTTCTCCATGGTCACCAGCTGCTTGGGGGTCCCTCCTCCTCCTGGGGTGATACCCATGGGCTGTGCTGGTTCCAGGAGAAGGACACTGGTCTCCAGGGGTGCCCTTTGCTCTGCAGAGGTCCTTCCTGCTAGGTGCTCTTCAGGCAGGGTTAGGTCCAGCTTGTGTCCCTCTGCACATAGGATTGCAAAGCAACAACATCCATGTTCCTCATGGCTTGAGGAGCCACCAGTCTCCTCCTGGGGATGTGGCTGATGGAGAACCCTCCTTGATGGTGACTTCGGGAGGCTCATTACAGGGGTGTCCCCTACCTGGTGCGCCTGAAGGGCTGGTGGAGCATGAAGCCACTTGCCCTTTGCTTCCTCCACATAGATGGCCACCAGCTGTGTCTGTCTATGACTGCAAAGCCCGGGTGACTGTGGTGCCAGGTGAGAAGGGGCTCCAGAACATGTTGAGTGGCTTCACTTGTGCCCATTGATCCCCTTCCTCCTGAGACCTGAGGAGGGGTCTTGGTCAATGGCACTACTGACCATTGAGGAGGAGATCCTTGGGTGATTGGTTGCTTTGATGGTTGGATGGATGGATGGATGGATGGATGGATGGACAGTTGCTTGCTTGGTTGGTTGGTGAGTTGGTGGTTGGTTGGTGGTTAGTTGGGTGGGTGAGTGGGTGGTTTGTTGAACGGTTGAGTGGTTGGTTGGTTGCTTGCTTGCTTTGATGTTTTGGTGGATGGATGGATGGATGGATGGATGGATGGATGGATGGATGGATGGATGGATGGGTGGATGGATGATGGATGGGTGGATGGATGATGGATGGATGATGGATGGATGGTGGATGGATGGATGGAGGATGGATGGATGGATGATGGATGGATGGATGGATGGATGGATGGATGATGCATGGGTGGATGGATGATGGATGGATGGATGATGGGTGGATGGATGGATGAATGGTTGGATGATGGATGGATGGATGATGGATGGATGGATGGATGATGGATGGATGGATGGATGGATGGATGGATGGATGGATGGATGGATGAATGGTGGATGGATGGATGGATGATGGATGGATGGATGGATGGATGGATGGATGGATGGATGGATGAATGGATGGATGGATGATGGATGGATGGATGATGGATGGATGGATGGATGGATGGATGGATGGATGGGTGGATGGATGAATGGTTGGATGATGGATGGATGGATGATGGATGGATGGATGGATGGATGGTTGGATGATGGATGGATGGATGGATGGATGGGTGGATGGATGGATGATGGATGGATGGATGATGGGTGGATGGATGGATGAATGGTTGGATGATGGATGGATGGATGATGGATGGATGGATGGATGGATGGATGGATGGGTGGATGGATGAATGGTTGGATGATGGATGGATGGATGATGGATGGATGGATGGATGGATGGATGGATGGATGGATGGGTGGATGGATGATGGATGAATGGATGATGGATGAATGGATGGACGGATGATGGATGGATGATGGATGGATTGTTGGGTGGGTTGGGTGGCTGGTTCGTCAGTTTGTTGGTTGCTTGCTGGGTTGGTCGGTTTGGCAGTACAACCAGTGCCATCAGTCACATGGACTTCTCTGGCTGTTGTCTCCTAGTCAGAGGACCTGGGTGCCTGCGCGCAGTTCGAGAGCAGCAGGCAGACCAGGAACATGATGCCCAGCGCCAGCTGCGTCTTCCCCACCTTCAACCTACGGAAACCCTCCTCGGAGACGGACATTGAGAACTGGGCCTCCAAGCACTTCAACAAGCACACCCAAGGGCTCTTCCGGAGGAAGGTGTCCATCGCCAACATGCTGGCCTGGAGCAGCGAGTCCATCAAGAAACCCATGATCATGACCAACGACCGCAACGTCAAGAAGGAAGCCTGTGAGATATTTAAACTGATTCAGATGTACATGGGGGACCGACGGGCCAAGACGGACCAGCTCAACGTGGCTTTGGAGATCGCCACCAAGGGTTGGAGCATGCAGGGGCTGAGAGATGAGCTCTACATCCAACTGTGCAGGCAGACCACCGAGAACTTCCGATACGAGAGCCTGGCCCGGGGCTGGGAGCTCATGGCCATTTGTTTGGCCTTTTTCCCACCCACTCCCAAATTCCATTCCTACCTAGAAGGATATATCTACAGGCACATGGATCCAGTGAATGACACCAAAGGTAAGGGGGAAACCACCGCCCTGGTGGCTTCTGCTGATCTTACAACCCATTTGTTCCTTTTCCCTTCGCCTTCATGAGTTTCCTGGTTGGAAGATGGGGGAGGACCTCACCCGCATCCCTCCTGGAGGTGCAGTGAACATGGTGGGGCCTTTACCACCGTGCTTTCCTCCTCAGCACATGGGAATGCAGCGTGAGACCCAACACGAAATGAGCTTTGACACCTTTGCTGCAGGTTCAGTGTCACCTCCTCTGGAGGTGGCCATAAGCGAGAGTTTCAGAGGTCCCTTCTAACCCAATCCATTCCATGAGTGAAGATTTCACCTTCATCTCCATCTCCAGTGGCTTCCTGTGGCTTCTAGAGTAGCTTTGGACCAAAAATCACCCCATGGTGGAAGGGGATCCAGCTTGATTCCCAGCTCTCAAGATGGTTTTTGGTCATGGTAGATAGAAGAGACATTTATTTGGGCTATTTGACCTCAAACTGGTGGCCGCTCTCTAGTCCTGGGCTTGGCCATTGCTGCTCCTTCATCACTGGTGCTGTTTCACGGGTGATGGGGTCTGGTCTGGCAGGAGCATGGATGGAAGTTGGGCATCACCACGTCCCGTGGGTGAGTCAGAGGTGGAGGTCCAGGAGGTCCATGGATGAGGAGGTGAGGAGGAGGTCCATGGATGAGGAGGTCCATGGATGAGGAGCTGAGGTGGAGGTCCAGGAGGTCCATGGATGAGGAGCTGAGGTGGAGGTCCAGGAGGTCCATGGATGAGGAGGTCCATGGATGAGGAGCTGAGGTGGAGGTCCAGGAGGTCCATGGATGAGGAGGTGAGGAGGAGGTCCAGGAGGTCCATGGATGAGGAGGTGAGGTGGAGGTCCAGGAGGTCCATGGGTGAGGAGGTGAGGAGGAGGTCCAGGAGGTCCATGGATGAGGAGCTGAGGTGGAGGTCCATGGATGAGGAGGTGAGGTGGAGGTCCAGGAGGTCCATGGATGAGGAGGTGAGGTGAAGGTCCATGGATGAGGAGGTGAGGTGGAGGTCCAGGAGGTCCATGGGTGAGGAGGTGAGGTGGAGGTCCATGTATGGGGAGGTGAGAAGGAGGTCCATGGATGAGGAGGTGAGGTGAAGGTCCATGGGTGAGGAGGAGGTCCAGGAGGTCCATGGATGAGGAAGTGAGGAGGAGGTCCAGGAGGTCCATAGATGAGGAGCTGAGGAGGAGGTCCAGGAGGTCCATGGATGTGGAGCTGAGGTGGAGGTCCAGGAGGTCCATGGATGAGGAGCTGAGGTGGAGGTCCATGGATGAGGAGGTGAGGAGGAGGTCCAGGAGGTCCATGGATGAGGAGCTGAGGAGGAGGTCCAGGAGGTCCATGGATGAGGAGCTGAGGTGAAGGTCCATGGATAAGGAGCTGAGGTGGAGGTCCAGGAGGTCCATGGATGGGGAGGTGAGGTGAAGGTCCATGGATGAGGAGCTGAGGTGGAGGTCCAGGAGGTCCATGGATGGACCATTGGGAAATGGAGCCTGGATGTTTCCTGGTGCCCTTTGGCTCCCTGGAGACCAGGCAGGAACATCTGGAGGACACCAACATCAGGTGGAGCTGGGATGGATCTGCCCAGCTTGGGGAGGAGAGGAACCCAACCACGGTGTCCATGGGGGGAGCTGTGGGGTGGCTGAGGAAGCCCCAGAGGTGGTGGGACAGGGTGGGGTGGCACAAGGGTTGGTACCACCAAGGTTGGGAGGCCTGGGGCTGCCCATGTCCCGTCCCCCCCGCAGCAGAGGTGTCAAAGGAAGTCCACAGCTATCGTGTCGGGTTCGGAATGTCGGCGCTGGTCATTTCCTTTGGAGTCTTCATTTATCGTTGGATTTAGTTCGTTGTCCTGGTGGTTGTGCCATGTGCAGTTGGAATTCTGCTCGTGGTTCGATCCGTCGTCGTGGTGTTGATGTTTCAGTTCTGATTCTCATTTCAATTGGTTTTAATTTCGGGTTTCCCGTGGTTTTATTTCCCTTTCATGTACTCGATTTCACGTTTGCATTTGCGTCTTTTTTTAGTTTTCATTTCCATTTATTTTCATTCTCCTTTAATATTTTAATTTTTATTTAAAATAATGAAAAATAACTTTCTATTTATTTATATTCATTTTTTCATTTCAGGTTTACTTGTTATTGCAGTATTATTTTGATTTTAATTATCTCTTATTTTCATTTTTTTATTTTATTCTGGTTCCATTTTAATTTTATTTCATTTTCATTTTTCTTTTTTGCTGCTCATTTATTTTCATTTTTACCTAGGTTTTATTGCATTTTCCTTTCCATTTTGATTTTCTTTTCATTTATTTCTATTTTTATTTAGTTTTTCTTTTTTCTTTACATTTATTTTTACTTTTAATTCTATTTTTTATTCCTTTTTAATTTTTATTTCTATTTTTATTCTATTTTCTATTCTTTATTTTTAGATTTTTTATTTTCACTTTTTATTTTTCTTCTTTTACTTTTATATAGTTTTCACTTTCATTTTCCTTTATTTCCATTTTATTTCATTTTTAACCTTTACTGTTTTCATTTACTTTCATTATATTTGCTTTTATTTTTATTATTTTAGTTTTACTTTCATTTTCACTTTTCTTTGTATTCCGATTTTTTTCAGGGTTTTGTGTATTTTCATTTTTACTTTTTATTGATCTTTCGATTTCATCTTCATGTAATTTGCATTTATTTCCGTTGGGTTTTTGTGCTTTCACGTTCCCCTCTTCTGATTGTTTTGATCATTGTTGTTCTTTATTTGCACGCGTTTCAGTCCCAGTCTCATTTCTGTTCCCGTTTCTGTTCTGTTCCCATCCTGTCGCATTCCATCCCTCCCCAATCCCCGTTTCCCAGTGACCCGGCACATAAACGACCTCCTGGAAAGGACCAATAAGAAGAAACCCAAATTGAGAAAGAAACCCAAGCCCCAGCTCGAGGAGCTCGAGGGTAGGGACGGCCCCGCGACGCTCGCACCCCGGTGACGCACAGCAGGGCCAGCCCGGGGATGTGCTGACAGGGAGATGGAGCCGGAGCCGTTTGGGCATGGATGTAGATGAGATACAGAGATAGAGATGCAGGGATTGATAGTGGAGTTAATAAATAACTCTCCGTTATGTAGATATATTGAGGTAGATTAGACACTGTCATTTGTCTTTTCAAATTGTAGATATGTTATGTATAAATGTGTAGTATTATATATCAAGTTTAGAACATTATATATATATGTTCTGTATAACATTATGGGTAATGTTATATATGGATATATAATATTACATAATATCTATCATGTATGTTATTTGTTATCTGTTATATGTAGTATCGATTATATATGGTATATATTATATAGTATAGTATATATGGTATATATTATATATTATAGCATGCAGTCTACAGTATATATTATATACCATACATAGCATACTATTACATTTTATATATGTCATTCATTATAAATTATATACTCCATATTATATATTATGTCATAATGTTATAGATATTTAATATATCATATATATCACTATATACATTATATAATGAACATATAGAGCATATATGATAACATGTAAAATATTACATCATAATATTTAATATTATGTATCATATATCATCATGTACTTGTCTATATATGATATATAATGTATATGAATATATGATATATACAGCATTATGCATTCATATATAATATTACATGCAATGTTATGTGTAACACAATACTTATATTTCCTACATAATGTTATATAAAACCACATAATCTTATATATAATGCTATTCATTTAATATACAAGATCAGATTTAATATGAATACCCCCATTTGGGCTATAAAATAAGTATAATCATTTAATATAGAATATGATAAAACATGCCAGAAATATATGAAACACCCTATGTAATATTTTTTTATAAATACAGTTTTATCATATTTTATTAGAATATCTAATATAGGATAGGGTATTAGAAACAGGAGTAATTAAATAATACATAATATTTTGGTTTTATATAATGTTATATATAATAGCATGCAGGCAATTTAGCATAATTAATATCACTAATATGACTTACAGGTTTATATTAAATATCTAATTATATAGATAAATCTATATGGGTAGACAGAACATGATTCATACATATATATATTAATATATTAGCAATTAATAACATTAATAATTGATAATTAATAAGTAATTAACAAGAGGGGAAAGTAGGGACTTCATTAAGTAGAGCCACATAGAAAGTGCTGTCAGGTTTACTCAGTGATGAATGGATGGATGGATGGATGGATGATGGATGGATGGATGGATGGATGGATGGATGGATGGATGGATGGATGGATGGATGGATGGATGGATGGATGAATGGATGGATGGGTGGGTGGATGGATGGATGATGGATGGATGGATGGATGGATGGACGGACAGACGGATGGAGGATGGATGGGTGGATGGATGGATGATGGATGGATGGATGGATGATGAATAGGTGGATGGAGGATGGATAGATGGATGGATGGATGGATGATCATGGATGGGTACCACCATCCCTGGTGCCAAAGCCGTCACTGGTGGCGGTGATGTGGCATCCCTCTTGGCTCTGGGGGGATGCCAGGTCCCCACATCAGGATGTTGGTGAACACTCAGCATCCAGGTAACACCAAGAGGTTCCTGGTGCAAGATGAGGGGCCTCAACCTGGAGCCACAGCAGTGTGGGACCTGGAACCTGTGGGTGGAGGCACCTGAGAAACAGCTTTAATGGCCACCATGAATTAAGGTTGTGTTCAGTGTCTCCATCAGTGGTGCGGATGGTGGGGTCTAGTGCGCCCTCAGCACCTTTGGAGCTGCCACCAAGCCTAGTGATGGGGTTGACCCACCTGAGGGACCTGTGTGAACCTCATGAGGTTCAATAATAGAGCAGCAGCCTGGTCCGGTGGAAGATGTCCATGCTCATGGAATGGTGGTGGACCTGGATGGTCCTTTCCAACCCAAACCATTCCATGATTCCATGAATGGGCACCAGATCTGAGGTCACCAGGTCCTGGACATCCTCCAGGCTCCCTCTTTCGGGGTGGCTTCAGACCCCACCACATCTCCATCATCTCCTCCAGGGCATTTACAGTTCCAAAACCCCACTGGAGGAACCCTTTGAAGACAACAGCACTGGGGATGGAGGGAAAAGGGATGATCCCAAGTCTTGTTTTAACCAAAAAGCACCATCAGGGGCCACCAGGAGCTGCCAACCACCAGGTCTTCTCCTGGAGCCCTTTTCCCCCTCTTTTGCCCCAATATTTAGTGGGGAAAGCACATTTTAAGCTCCTGGCCCATCCTCACCAACATCTTCTGGGGTCATCCAGAAGGTACCACCAGGTCCCCAGGGCTCTTGGCTATGGGATACAGGAGCATCTTACATTGGGATGAGCCCATCGGGATGCTCCAAGGGTTGAGGGTTGTTGAAGGGCACCATGAGGAGGGGATGGATGGTGTGGAGGGGGATGAGGGTGGAAGCGGTGGCATCAGGAGGAGAAGGGGTGGAGAAATCATCCCTGGAAGCCACAGTATCCCATATGAGGCCACCACAGTGAGTGGGGCTGGAGCTGAGGGGTCTCCATGGTTGGTGGGTACAAGGACACAAGGTTCTTGGGGAGCAGGTTGAGTTTTGGGGACCCCTCATCCTCCTCAGCCCCCCTCCCCCTTCCTCCTTGAGGAGCAGTGATGGGGACAGGGACGGAGCTGCCCCACATCCCATGGGGACCCTGACAGCATCCTGGAGCTGGGGTGGGTGTCACCTCCCCAAGCCCCCCCCATGGGCCTCCATGACCTGGAGGTGACGCCTCAACCTCTCTCTTCTCTCTTGCAGGGGTGGCAATAAGCACTTATGCCAAGTACTGCTACAACAAGCTGCAGAAGGCAGCTCTGACGGGCGCCAAGAAGGTATCACCCCACCGCTGGCCATGGGGCGGGGGGCCTGGCCCCCCATCGGGACCACCTGTGGGGCTGGTGGGGTCTGGGGAGGAGGAGGAGGGATGAAGCTGGAGAGCAATGGGAATGATGCAGCAGCCGGTGCTGGACCCATGGTGGATGCTCCAGGTACCTCCAGCGTGGTTCACGTGGAGGAACATCTGGGGTTCTCCTTGGGGTGTCCCAGGTGCTTCCATAGACCAAGGGGTCAAATAGGGATTGAGGAGATGATCCTGGGAGCTGAGGGTGGAGAGGATGCTCCAGCAGCTCCCAGGTCCCCATGGACCTCACCAATCACGTCTATCCCCATTTCCCATCGCTGCCATCAGGGCAGTGGTTGAGTCCTTCAGGAGTAGACCCTAAATAGGGATGAATTTAGAGCTTGGGGTTTTCCTCCTGGCCCCGTCAGCACCACGGCTGCCTCAGTTTCCCCATCCTCGTTTCATGGGGATGGAGAAGGGACGGTGGGATCCCACCTTGGTCCTCATGGTGACATCTGCCCGGACAAGGCCTGGTGGAGGGAGGGGATGTGGCATCCATTGGGATCACTGTGATCTGTGGAGGCAAAGACAGGGGTTGAGGAGCTCGAGGTGAAGCCACAGCTCGGGTGCCTTCTTCTGTTGGTGGCTCTGTCTGGAGAGGAGACGCTTGGGCAGATGCAGCTGATGGGGAGCTGCGTCCATCTCCTCTGCATCCCACCCAAACACATCCATCCCTGTCCATCCCACCACACACATCTCCATCCATCTCCTTTTCCACATCCCACCACACACACGGCTGCTGTATCCAACCCTTCTGCTTCCAGCCGTGTCCGCATCCATTGCGTCCATCTCTTCTGCATC